CATGTAGTATGGTCCCTGATACACAACGGGAACTCACTACTGTTACTGTTTTATGATAAGAATCTTGATGGTGTACATCAGGAGGGTTTTTGCAAAAAAAAAAAAAATTCACACTTTATTGGAAATCTCTAGTCCATTTTCTGACACATACTTTTGATAAATGTTTATGGGGCACCTACAAAAGGAAAAACACCCCCACTGTGTTGAGTGACCAGTTGTCCAAGTGGGTTTGAAGCAAGGTTTCAGAGCACCAAGCTACATTACCATTATTATTACCATCTGAAATATGTTTCACCATTTCAACTCTCCAAGAAACGTACAGAAAAATAAAAGTCCGGTTTCTCCCCCATTTTTCATCTCCATTAGAAAGACTCTGAAGGGCCTACAAGTGATAGGAGGAAGGGACGTGAAAATAGATCTAGATTCCAGCCTTGGCTCTTTTATCAACTTCCTGAGGTCACTGGGTGTGATGGATAATTTTATGTGTCATCTTGACTGGATTAAGGGATATCCAGATAGCTGGTAAAGCATTACTCTGTGTGTGTGTGTGTGTGTGTGTGTGTGTCAGAGTTTCTGAAAGAGATTGGCCTTTGAATCAGTAGTCTCAATAAAGAAGATATGCCCTCATCAAAGTGGGCTGACATCCAATCAGTTGAGGGCCTGACTAGACAGAGGTTGATTCCAGGTCTAGCTTGCTATCGTAAACAGTGCCACAAGGAACATAGGTGTGCATGTGTCTTTATCATAGAATGATTTATAATCCTTTGGATATATACTCACTAATGGGATTGCTGGGTTAAACGGAATTTCTATTTCTAGGTCCTTGAGGAATCGCCACACTGTCTCCCACAGTGGTTGAAGTGATTTACACTCCCTCCAGCAGGGTAAAAGTGTTCCTATTTCTCCACATCCTCTCCAGCATCTGCTGTCTCCAGATTTTTTAAAGACTGCCATTCTAACTGGCCTGAGATGGCATCTCAATATGGTTTTAATTTGCATTTCTCTAATGACCAGTGATGATGAGCATTTTTTCATGTGTTTGTTGGCCTCATAAATGTCTTTGAAAAGTGTCTGTTCATGTCCTTCGCCCACTTTTAATTAATGGGTTTTTTTCTTGTAAATCTGCTTTAGTTCTTTGTAGATTCTGGATATTAGCCCTTTGTCAGATGGGTAAACTGCAAAAATTTTTTCCCATTCTGTTGGTGGCTGATTCACTCTAATGACTCTTTCTTTTGCTGTGCAGAAGCTCTGGAGTTTCATTAGGTCCCATTTGTCTATTTTGGCTTTTGTTGCCAATGCTTTTGGTATTTTGGTCATGAAGTCCTTGCCTACTCCTATGTCCTAAATGGTTTTGCCTAGATTTTCTTCTAGGGTTTTTATGGTGCCGGGTCTTATGTTTAAGTCTTTAATCCATCTGGAGTTAATTTTAGTGTAAGGTTTCAGAAAGGGGTCCAGTTTCTGCTTTCTGCACATGGCTAGCCAGTTTTCCCAACATCATTTATTTAACAGGGGATCCTTTCCCCATTGCAAGTTTTTGTTAGGTTTGTCAAAGATCAGATGGTTGTAGATGTGTGGCATTGCCTCCAAGGCCTCTTCTCTGTTCCATTGGTCTATATCTCTGTTTTGGTACCAGTATCATGTTGTTTTGATTACTGTAGCCTTGTAGTATAGTTTGAAGTCAGATAGCATGATGACTCCAGCTTTGTTCTTTTTGCTTAGAATTGTCTTGGCTATGCAGGCTCTCTTTTGGTTCCATATGAAGTTCAAGGTGGTTTTTTCCAGTTCTGTGAAGAGGGTCATAGGCAGCTTGATGAGAATAGCTTCAAATCTATAAATTACTTTGGGCACTATGGTCATTTTCACAATATTGATTCTTCCTAACCATGAACATAAAATGTTTTTCCATCTGTTTGTGTCCTCTCTTATTTCCTTGAGCAGTTGTTTGTAGATCTCCTTGAAGAGGTCCTTTACATCCTTTGTTAGTTGTATTCCTAGGTATTTTATTCTCTTCGTAGCAATTGTGAATGGCAGTTCATTCTTTTTTTATTTTTTGAGACAGAGTTTAGCTCTTGTTACCCAGGAGGGAGTGCAATGGCATGATCTTGGCTCACTGCAACCTCCACCTCCTGGGTTCAGGCAATTCTCCTGCCTCAGCCTCCCAAGTAGCTGGGATTACAGGCATGTGCCACCATGCCCAGCTAATTTTTTGTATTTTTAGTAGAGATGGGGTTTCACCATGTTGACCAGGATGGTCTCGATCTCTTGACCTCGTGATCCACCCACAGTTCATTCTTGATTTGGCTCTCTTTAAGTCTGTTATTGGTGTATAGAAATGCTTGTGATTTCTGCACATTGATTTTATATCCTGAGACTTTGCTGAAGTTGTTTATCAGTTTCAGGAGATTTTGGGCTGAAGCGATGGGGTCTTCTAGGTATACTATCATGTCATCTGCAAATAGAGACAATTTGACTTCCTCCTTTCCTAATCGAATACCCTTTATTTCTTTTTCTTGCCTGATTGCTCTGGCTAGAACTTCCAGTACTATATTGAATAGGAGTGGTGAAAGAGGGCATCCTTGTCTAGTGCCGGATTTCAAAGGGAATGCTTCCAGTTTTTGCCCATTCAGTATGATATTGGTTGTGGGTTTGGCATAAATAGCTTTTATTAATTTGAGATACATTCCATTGATACCTAATTTATTGAGAGTTTTCAGCATAAAGGCTGTTGAATTTTGTCAAAGGCCTTCTGTGCATCTATTGAGATAATCATGCATTTTTTGTCTTTGGTTCTGTTTATGTGGTGAATTACATTTACAGACTTGTGTATGTCGAACCAGCCCTTGCATCCCTGGGATAAAGCCTACTTGATCATTATGGATAAGCTTTTTGATATGCTGTTGTAGTTGGTTTGCCAGCATTTTATTGAAGATTTTTGCATCTATGTTCATCATGGATATTGGCCTGAAGGTTTCTTTTCTTGTTGAGTCTCTGCCAGGTTTTGGTGTCAGGCTGATGTTGGTCTCATAAAATGATTTGGGAAGGATTCCCTCTTTTTGGATTGTTTGGGATAGTTTCAGAAGGAGTGGTACCAACTCTTCTCTATATGTCTGGTAGATTTCGGCTGTGAACCCATTTGAACCTGGGCTTTTTTTGGTTGATAAGCTATTAATTTCTGCCTCAACTTCAGATCTTGTTATTGGTCTGTTTGGGGTTTCAACTTCTTCCTGGTTTAAGCTTGGGAGGGTGCAAGTGTCCAGGAATGTATCCATTTCCAGGTTTACTGGTTTGTGTGCACAGAGTTGTTTGTAGGAATCTCTGATGGCAGTTTGTATTTCTGTGGTATTGGTGGTGATCTCCCCTTTATCGTTTTTTATTGCATCTATTTGATTCTTCTCCCTTTTCTTTTTTATTAATCTGGCTAGTGGTCTATTTCGTTGATCTTTTCAAAAAACCAACCAGCCCCTGGATTAATTTTTTGAAGGGCTTTTTTTGTCTCTATCTCCTTTAGTTCTGCTTTTAGTTACTTCTTGTCTTCTGCTGGCTTTTGAGTTGTTTTTTTTTTTTTTTTTTTAATCTTGCTCCTCTAGCTCTTTCAATTTTGATGATAGGGTGTCAACTTTAGATCTTTCTTTGCTTCTCATGTGGGCATTTATTGCTATACATTTTCCTAGAGACACAGCTTTAAATGTGTCCCAGAGATTCTGGTATTTTGCACCATTGCTCTCCTTGATTTCGAAGAACATCTTTATTTCTGCCTTCACTTCATTGTTTATCCAGTCAACATTCAAGAGCCAGTTGTCCAGTTTCCATGAAGTTGTGTGGCTCTGAGTTAGTTTCTTAATCCTGAAATCTAATTTGATTGCACTATGGTAGACCTGGAATCAACTCAAATGTCCATCAATGATAGACTGGACAAGGAAAATGTGGCACAAATACACCATGGAATACTATGCAGCCATAAAAAGCGATGAGTTCGTGTCCTTTGTAGGGACATGCATGAATCTGGAAACCATCATTCTCAGCAAATTGACACAAGAACAGAAAAACACCACGTGTTCTCACTCATAGGTGAGTGCTGAACAATGAGAATACATGGACACAGGGAGGGAAGCATCACATACTGGGGTCTGTTGAGGGGGAATAGCAGAGGGACAGCAGGTGGTAGGGAGGTTGCAGAGGGATAACAGGGGAAGAAATGCCAGATATAGGTGATGGGGGGATGTAGGCAGCAAATCACATTGCCATGTATGTACCTATGCAACAATCCTGCATGTTTTGCACATGTACCTCAGAAACTAAAGTGTAATTATATATATATATACACACACACATATATATACATATACACACACACACATACACATATATATATATATACACACACACACACACACACATATGGGGGGAGAGGGCAAATTTGCTCTCTTCTTGAGCTATGATTTCACCTTATTCTGCCCCAGGACATCAGAGCTCCTGGTTCTCAGGCCTTCAGACTTTGGGACTTACAGTGGCCCTCCAGGTTCTCAAGACTTTAGCTTTGGACTGACAGTGACATCACTGATTCCCCCTGGTTCTCCAGCCTGAGGACTTGGACTGCATCTCACCATCATCTTTCTTGGGTCCAGCTTGCATATAGCCTATCATGGGACTTCTCAGCCTCCATAATCATAGGAGCTAATCCCCATAATAAATGCTCTAATATATAAATATATATCTTATTAGTTGTTTCTCTGAAGAATCCAGATTAATACTGATTAATTGGGCAAGATTCTCTTAATCATTATGGGCCAAGTTTGGACTTGAACTCTTGGGTCACTTAAAAAAAAACGTAACAACAGGTTGCACACAAGTCCACCCTCACCAGTGCATAAAGTTTGATCCCTGGAAGTTATCACAAGTTACCTGTTTTTCTCCTCTTAAATTCTTCCCATAATACCTTAGTTCTTTGGAGGAAAGGTATCTCAAGGGGGTAAAAACCACACAGGCAGATAAATAGACGATTGGCTTGATAGATCTACCTTTAATTTTGTGATTTTCCAGTATTCATAATCCTTTCAAAATTTCCTTTGAAGGGGGGAAAAAAAGAGCCTTGTAAGAAATATGCTCAAAGAGGTTCTAGGAGTTATAGACATCCCATTCCAATATAAGATATAAAGGCAAAATGTATTCTTTCCCCATGATCCAGGCTAGCTCCAAGAATCCTAAAAGGGATCTTTTAATTAGGGTTCTGGGATGCAGAGTTTTGTGGATTTGTATCTGTTCTGACACAAGGACCACTCTACTTCCTTAAGAAACATGTGCAAAAATGCTTTGCTCAACAAACTAGTTAGGTATGTATAAATGGTGAACACGGTCCTCACTGACAAAAATCTTGTAAGCAATTCTGTTACAAAATCGATCTTGCTAACGGGTCTTGGTGTATAAGTCAGGAATATCATTTTCATTTTCAGGTGTGGGAAATGGAAGTGCAGAAAAGCTAGGTTTTAGGGTGCCATTACTTTTTTAAAAATTATACTTTAAGTTCTGGGTTATATGTGCAGAACAGGCAGTTCTGTTACATAGGTATGCACATACCATGGTGGTTTGCTGCACCCATCAACCTGTCATCTACATTTGGTATTTCTCCTAACGCTATTCCTCCTCTAGGCCTCCCACCCCCTTATAGGCCCCAGTGTGTGATGTTTCCTCCCTGTGTCCATGTGTTCTCATTGTTCAGCTCCCACTTATGAGTGAGAATATGTGGTGTTTGGTTTTCTGTTCTTGTGTTAGTTTGCTGAGAATGATGATTTCTAGCTTCACCCATGTCCCTGCAAAGGACATGAACTCGTCCTTTTTATGGCTGCATAGAATTCCATGGTGTATATGTGCCACATTTTCTTTATCCACTCTATCAATGATGGGCATTTGGGTTGGTTCCAAGTCTTTGCTATTGTGAACAGTGCCACAATAAATATACCTGTGCATGTGTCTTTATAGTAGAATGATTTATAATCCTTTGGGTATATACCCAGTAATGAGATTGCTGGGCCAAATGTTATTTCTAGTTCTAGATCTTGAGAAATCTGCCTCTCACAATGATTGAGCTAACTAACACTCCTACCAACAGGGTAAAAGCGTTCCTATTTCTCCATATCCTCTCCAGCATCCGTTGTTTCCTGACTTTCTAACAATTGCTATTCTAATTGGCATGAGAGGCATCTCATTGTGGTTTTGATTTGCATTTTTCTAATAACCAATGATGATGAGCTTTGTATCACGTTTGTTGGCTGCATAAAAAAACAGCATGGTACTGGTACCAAAACAGATATATAGACCAATGGAACAGAACAGAGGCCTCAGAAATAACATCACAGATCTCTAACTATCTGATCTTTGAGAAACCTGACAAAAACAAGCAATGGGGAAAAGATTCCCTATTTAACAAATGGTGTTGGAAAACTGGCTAGCCACATGCAGAAAGCTGAAACTGGATCCCTTCCTTACACCTTATAAAAAATTAATTCAAGATGGATTAAAGACTTAAACATAAAGCCTAACATCATGAAATCCCTGGAAGAAAACCTAGGCAAAATCATTCAGGACATAGGCATGGGCAAAGACTTCACCAAAAGCAATGGCAAGAAAACCCATAATAGACAAATGGGATCTAACTAAACTAAAGAGCTCCTTCACAGCAAAATAAACTGTCACAAGAGTGATACCTACAGGTCACCTACAGAATGGGAGAAAATTTTTGCAATCCATCCGACAAAAGGCTAGTGTCCAGAATCTACAAAGAACTTAAATTTAAAACAAAAAAGCAAAACCCCATCAAAAAGTGGGCAAAGGATATGAACAGACACTTCTCAAAAAGATAGGGTGACATTACTTAACTGAGGTAGAGGCAAGATGAGAAGCTGCCAGTCACCCGGAATATCTGATTTGTCGGTCTTGACTATTATTGTAGTCTGGTAGAACCTATTTCAAAGTGTCTCTGCAATAAGGGTAGACGGGAGAACTTGGGACCCGCCTGAGGGATTTTGACATGTAAACGTGACCGCAGTTGGCTGAATCTGATTTTAAGTCGGCATCTATTGGCTGAATTACTGATATAAACATCATCAGTCATTCCAATACCCACCTTCAAAATCAGAATGTTTAGAATCTAAAAAATGCTGCCTTTCAGCATTTTATTTTTGGTATGGATGAAACAAGCACTATTCTTAAGAATAAGGTGTAAGGATTTTACTCTCACATTTGCTTCTCTTACAGAGTGGTATTGTACAAGCTAATTGGATCTCTGGGTCTCACTTTCCTCATGTATAAAATGACAATAAGTCTCCTAATTCACAGGGGATTCATGAGACTAACCTGAAATGAATGAAAGAAAATATTTATTAAGAATATAATTCAGGGACTTGGGCTCTTGTGCGATAAATAAATCAAGTTGAAATAATGCAACCTCCTTAGAAGACCATATCCCATATCTCTAAATTTAAAAACAAATTATTGCTGGAACCGTGGGTGTCATCTTGGAAAGCAAGTTAAGCAGCTTCAATACGTTAAATCAGGCACCATCTCAGTGAGAAACACACTGAGAATGGACCCGAATCAGGCACCGTCTCAGTGACAAACACACTGTGAGAATGGACCCAAATCAGGCACCATCACAGTGACAAACACATTGTGAGAATGGACCCAAATCAGGCACCGTCTCAGTGACAAACACACTGTAAGAATGGACCTGTTTTTATGAGATCTGAAGACAAATTGGCATCTGCTCAAATGGCATCTCCAGAATTCTTCTAAGTCCTCTAACTATTGCTTTATAAAAGGGATGAAGTAGATAAAGTGTGCATCTATTATAGCAAGTACTCCAGAGAGAGGCACAATGTACTCCATTTCCCAAATTACTCCTCCTCTCAGTCACATTTGTGGAGGCCAAGGAGTGTGCCTGGATAATTAAGGATTCAGACAGCTATGGCTGCTTTAATTTTTGTTGTTCAGAGCACTTTGTTGATGGGATTTGGAACACTGTCGTACTTCAAAGCTACAAAGTGACATTCATCGAACAAAGCCAATAATCAGCTATGCCAAATTAAATGTCCCACAACTATAACTTTTTGCTTGTGAGGAAAGCTGCTGTTTTCAGAATGTGTGGAATGCAAGGCACAAAAGCCTTTCTGTGATTTCGTTGAAACCTCCTATAGAAAACCCACCAATTTCTTCACCTCCTGGCACACAGGGCATGCTAATTCTTCGGCTTTTGCAGATCCCGCTTGTAAAACCTTCTCTAAATGGTCCTTGTCCAGCTTCAGTTTTTCAAGTTCACGCTTAATTGGGGCAAACTTCTCAATCACGGCGTCTGCCACGGCCAGCTTGTAGCGAGCAGTGTCCATGCCCGCGCTGCGGCGCACCACCTCCTGCACGGGGAGCCCCGTCACCGCGGCGTGCACCGCCACCAGGTTGGACACGCCCGGGCGGCCGGCCGGGTCGTAGGTGACCTCCGAGGTGAAGTCCGTCACAGCCTTGCGGAATTTCCGCACTATCTCCTCCGGGCTGTCTGTTATTCCGACGGTGGCCAGTTTGTCAGGGTCTGATTTCGACATTTTGGCAGAAGGATCACGGAGGGATTTTACCTTCTTCATGGATGCTAGGTTAAAGACACCAACACACACACCCAAGACAAAAACAAAACAAATCACCAGGAATGTCACTCTCTAGATCTTAAACATGCCAACAATATCCAACGACTATTATTTTCATCTCTTTATACAAACAGCAAATACTCATTGTGAAAAATTCAAGCATAAAAGTAAAGATAATCTGAAAATATGTGACTGTAATGTTGACATTCTGTTGATATTTTGGGGCATCTTTTAATGCATATATCTGCACAAAATGTATAACCTTACACAAATGAAATCATAACGTCATACTGTTTTTCTGTGTGCACCTTTTTAGGAAGGACTGTTTATTTCTTCCCGCTTCCTCTCTCTTTCCTCTCTGCTCTTCCCTAATAATCATTCCCACCCACAGCCCCTGCCTTTCCTGTCCCCTAATTTGAACAATTTGTGGCAGTCTTTCCATTTCTTTACCCAGGATTATATAAGTACATACCAACACACACACTCTCTCTCTCTCTCTGTCACACACACACACACACACACACATACACAGAAGAGAGAAGTGACTTGTTTATTGCTCTGATACAATCAAAATGTTAAGTCATGCTTAATCGTGTTATTAATTACCTATTTATGGCTAGTACTGATGCATATAAAATTGAAATAGGTAAAATAAAGCCAAAACATTAAACTATTACTTATTGCCTAAAATAAGGTTGATTTCAATGCAAGGAGTACCTTAAATTTATTTGTGTGAACTGCTGGAATAACTTAGAAATTTATACTTGCCTTTTGTTTCTGAATTGATACTAGGCACACATTATATTTCTTTGCAATGTTTTCAGCTAAATAAAGATGGACAGTGGTTAGGTTCACTGATCTTTGCCCCTGCCACAAGTTTACATTGCTACAAAATGCTGACAGGGATTTACAGTTTCTTTCCTCAAAAAGATTCCAGACTAGCATAGCCTCAAAGGCTAAAGCTGGCTTTTCAGATTCAGTTGGTAGATTGTACGTTCAATCTCGGTTGCTCATTTAAGAAAACAGAGGGCAATAATTATCAGTTCCCCTTTGTGTGTGTGTGTGTGTGTGTGTGTGTGTACATATATATGTATGTGTATCTATATATGTACACACACACATATATGTATGTATGTATATTAATTCCTCTTTGTGTGTATACACATATATATGTGTATATTTATATATACATACACATATGTATGCATATAGACAGTATATATATGTGTGTCTATATATATGTCTGTATATAGACAGTATATATATGTGTGTGTGTCTATATATATGTCTGTATATAGACAGTATATATATGTGTGTGTGTCTATATATATGTCTGTATATAGACAGTATATATATGTGTGTGTGTCTATATATATATGTATGTATACAGACAGTATATATATGTGTGTGTCTATATATATGTATGCATATAGACAGTATATATATGTGTGTGTCTATATATATATGTATGTATATAGACAGTATATATATGTGTGTGTGTCTATATATATATGTATGCATATAGACAGTATATATGTGTGTGTGTGTCTATATATATATGTATGCATATAGACAGTATATATATGTGTGTGTGTCTATATATGTATGTATATAGACAGTATATATATGTGTGTGTGTGTGTCTATATATATATGTATGCATATAGACAGTATATGTGTGTGTGTGTCTATATATATATGTATGCATATAGACAGTATATGTGTGTGTGTCTATATATATATGTATGTATATAGACAGTATATGTGTGTGTGTGTCTATATATGTATGTATATAGACAGTATATGTGTGTGTGTGTCTATATATATATGTATGTATATAGACAGTATATGTGTGTGTGTGTCTATATATATGTATGTATATAGACAGTATATATGTGTGTGTGTGTCTATATATATATGTATGCATATAGACAGTATGTGTGTGTGTCTATATATATATGTATGTATATAGACAGTATATGTGTGTGTGTCTATATATATGTATGTATATAGACAGTATATATGTGTGTGTGTCTATATATATGTATGTATATAGACAGTATATATATGTGTGTGTGTGTGTCTATATATATATGTATGTATATAGACAGTATATGTGTGTGTGTGTCTATATATATATGTATGTATATAGACAGTATATGTGTGTGTGTGTCTATATATATATATGTATGTATATAGACAGTATATGTGTGTGTGTCTATATATATATGTATGTATATAGACAGTATATGTGTGTGTGTGTCTATATATATATGTATGTATATAGACAGTATATGTGTGTGTGTGTCTATATATATATGTATGTATATAGACAGTATATATGTGTGTGTGTGTCTATATATATGTATGTATATAGACAGTATATATATGTGTGTGTGTGTCTCTATATATATATATGTATGCATATAGACAGTATATGTGTGTGTGTGTCTATATATATATGTATGTATATATGTATATACAGACAGTTCCCAACTTGCAATGGTTTATGATTTTTCAACTTTACAATGGTGCAAACGTGATATCCATTCAGTAGAAACTGTACTTGAAATACCCATAAAACCATTCGGTTTTTCACTTCCCATATGGTATTCAATAAATTACATGAGACATTCAATACTTTATTATAAAATAGGCTTTGTGTTAGATGATTCTGCCCAACTACGGACTAATGTAAGTGTTTTAAGCACACTGAAGGTGGGCTAGGCTAGGCTGTAATGGTCAGTAGGTTAGAGTGTTAAACGCATTTTTGATTAACAGTGTTTTCAACTTACAATGGCTTTATGAGGATGGAACCTGATTATAAAAGTCAAGAAGCATCTGTTTATACTTTGTAAATTATACACTACTTTATAAATACTATTATTTTAATTTTTTGGTCTCTTCCATACTTTTATAATATTTTTAGTTACCTTTTCAATAACCCAACACCGTCTACTTACTAGTCCTACACTGCAGGAAACAATGAGGACCCTCGTTACAGATCCAGAAGCCTGTCTACAGGAACACTGAGCTTAGTCCCAAGAAAGTTCCAAGCCTGTCTATTGTCCAATCCTCTCTTTAGAATATACCCTGATGTAACAATTATAAGTTTGTTACTTACTTAGAATGGACTTGGGCACTGGAAAGAACTCCCCATACTTCTTGTTGAAACCTTGTGCTAGATCCTGAACTAGTTCCATGTGCTGGACTTGATCCTCCCCAACAGGAACGTGTGTGGACCTTTAATAAAAGACAGAGAGAAAAACACAGCGAGGCTCTTTCTTAGATGCAAATGATACTGCAAGCAGCTGCATTTCCTGTGAATACTTCACTGTTGCTGTTCAGCAAATGTTCGCCAACTGCAGAGGGAAGGCTCAGACCTAAGTCTTTAACTATGGATCGGACAAATGCCAAAGAGATGTTTGTCTACTCTAGTTGTGTTTCTTCCAGAGCAGGGAAATACAGCCATCAACACCAGTGGGACGGGATCTTGCTGGGAGGGAAGAATGGGATTTTAAGTAGCATATGCTCTAGGCACAACTGTATTTTAAAACTATGCCTCATTCCCTCACCCACTCAGCACATGTTATCCCAGCCCTGACCAGATGCTTTTTACCTCAGAACTGCAGCTCACATTGAAAGACACCCCACCCTACTCTTCAAATCAAAGGTGGCAGAAAGTTCTTCAGGCAGGAGTTTTTCCTCCCTGTCACACGGGGAGTAATTCAAGATTTTTGGAATAAGCTTCATTTTCAAGTTCACTGCAATCACAGGACAATTAATATGTTGCAGAGAACTTAAAATCTACAACTACAGTGTCGATGGCTATCAAAAGCTACGTGGGGTGAAAGAAGCTGCAGAAAACACGAAGTATACTGACCTTTATGTAAATTTTACAAGTGCATACGGAAATGCTGCACAGTGTTTAAAGATGCATATATCTGTAATAATAAGCATAAACGCCATACTGGGAGCTCCTTCCCAAATTTGTAACTGTAGCTGCTTCTAGAGAAGGTGGGAAGGAAACAGATCTGAAGAAAAGAACGAATAAGACTTGAATTTTATCTGTAATATTTCATTTTATTAAAAAATAAAGATATGAAAGCAGAATATTAGATTATAGGGAATGACTTTATCATGACTTTAATCCCACGTATAAAATTTGCAGTGTCAGAACATGACGTGGTGCGTCAAATAAGGGAAGAATAAACCGTCATAGGGAAGCCTTGAGGAGGAAAATTCTATACTGAAGTATTATGGTGGGATAGAAAGCATGTGCTTTTATATATATAATGTTTGGCTGGGAGTTTATACTTGATAATACAAGTAATACAGTGCTCTGAGGTTTTTAAATCAAAGAAACAATATTGTTCCTATGAAAAACGCAGCGAGCCATCATAGGCAAGTTTCTTACCTTTTCTGAGTCTTCGTTTCCTCGTAAAGTGAAGGTCACCATGGAGCTTACCTCATATGGCTCTTTCAAGGATTATGAGCACACTACTTGTAGTAAGAGCTCAATAAATGCTTGCTATTGACATATACATATATATATTCATTAATATCTGACATGATGAAGGACAAAATGGTAAAATAAAGATACGATAAAGGACCTTGGTGTGGAGTACACTGACTTTTTTCACACTGAATCATTTTCCTTTTTCATAGCTGACATACCACAGATATCAATGCATAATCCCAGAGGTAGTCACGGACCTGAGCAGTGACACTGATATGCATAGAAAACTTACTTGAAACTGACAGTTTGCATATCTGATCAGTTAATCCCAGAATATAAATGCTATGTGACAGGAATTCTGAGAGCTCTTTTAATTAAAAAAAAAAAAAAAAAAAAAAAACAGGAACAGAACAATGAATGAAAAGGCGAAATGTCAGCATCATGACAGCAGACCCAGATGTGGTTTCTCTTCTTCTAAGGTCAATAAGTGAACGTGGGAAATTCTACCAAATAACTGTTAGGGCCAAAGCTACTGCTGTCTTCCACACAGCCTGGAGTAGAAAGCCACTGGGTCACTGAGTGGCAAAGACAAAAACAGTCCTTTTTATGTTTTCCTCAGCACTCATGGCCCTACAGGGTGCTCCTCTCTGGGATGTACACGCAGACACCCCACCGTTGTGACTTTCTCTTCTTGGAGTGGACTTTGCTACGCCTGTCTTATAGTGAGGCTGACATGGAGAGGTCACCTTGATGCTCCCAAGCCAAATTAGCCAACAGAGCAGGTTAAAAAGCAATTACAGTAGCCCATAGGAAATCACCATGGACTGCAACTAGCACAGAAAAAACCATTACCATAATCAATACACTTTATGCACATCAAAATGAATATTTCCACATGTCAAAATGCTTCCAGATTCACAGAGCAAGCAAACTAAACAGAAAACACACTTAGTTTTCATAATGACTCTGCACGCGTCTTTGCCGGACGTCGGACCCTTGCCTCTTTTCTCACAATTCTGTGGGGTTTTGCTTTTTTAAAAAAAAGGATTTAAAAAACGTTAATCTTTTTCACCTGCCCCTCTTGCTCCACTCGGCTTTTTCGGCTGATTTGGGCGTGTTTGTTTCAAGCCTTCCCTCCCTGTGCTCCTGCTGCTCCTTTCACCTCCTATAACTTATCTTGGCCTTTACTTCTCATCCACTGAGTTTACACTTTACATTAATTCATCCTGTCTTTGATTCTACTCACTTACGTGCCTTATTCTCTTCATGTTTTCAGCCTTTCTCCTCAGTCTTCCTTTCACTTCAAATAATTTAGTGCTGTTCTTTAAAAATTTATACCCTACATAATGATATCCATATTAATGTATCTTCTCTTTTTTTCTATTTTCTTTTTTTTTTTTAGTTACTCTGACTGTGGTTTCTTAGACACAACATAAAACAAAAGCCTTTCATAATTCTGATTGTTATAACTTCTGTCACATAATCATGCCTCTGATCCTCTCCTATGGTGCCTAAACCATTTTTCTTTTGCTTAGGTCCTTTTTGCATCTATGACTACTTAAGATCACCCCACCCTTCTGGCAGAATTAGTGTCCAGATTAATAATCGTTCCCTACGTATATCTGCCTACAGAGATTTGTTCTCTTATTATTTCTCTCTCTACTTTTTTGGCTGCGTTTGTAAGTTTTCAGTGCTGCTGCCTTTGACCAGCCTGGCTAGGACAGGACTTTGGCGGTGTTTCTTGTCAAAAAGGATTAACTCCTCATCACTGGTTGCTTGTTGGGTGTGGAACAATGGCGCTCTAATTCAGCAACTACTTACTGAAGACCCACGATGTGAAAGGCCTGCTGCTGCGTACTGTGAAGGATACAATGAAGGGTTTACTTTCTGAAGATTTAAGGCCTCCAGGAGGAGACATACCCAAGAAAGCTCTGCATTCCTCTGGCTAGTCTTCTTTCAGCATCCCCTAACTCAGTGAATGGCAATGCATTCAATACAACACTTGGGTGAGTCAGAAGTATCAGGTCATCCCCGACACCTCCCTCTCATACACATCCAGTCCTATCAGTTTACCTCCTAAATCTCTCTTATATTTGTCTACTTTTCTTCATCTTCATTGTCACCATCATGGTCCACACTAGACTAGTGAAATAGCCTCTAAACAGATTGCCCCAGATATTTTTGTCTTCCTAAAATCCATTCTCTGTTTTTTCCTTCTGAATATTTTTCATTTTTATTATTTTTTTCTTTTTCTTTTGAAAGGAGAGAAGGAAAGAAAAAAAAAGGAGTGAAGGAGAGGAGGAAAGAGGAAGAAAAAGAGGGAGAGAGAACGGGAATATTGCTTTATTCTAAAAATGGGTATTAATAATGGCCAATCAATATTTTGTGTATTTAAAGTGGAGAATGTATATTTTGTGTATTTAAAGTGGAGAGCTCTATAAATATTTATTGAGTTTACTTGTTCCAGATCTGAGTTTGAGTCCTGGATATCCTCATCAATTTTCTGTCTTGTTGAGTCTAAATCTCTTTATGAGTCTTATGTATCTGGGTGTTAGGATCATTAGCTCTTATTGTTGCATTGATCCTTATACCACTATATTTTTGTTGCTTTGAAATCTATTTTATCAGATGCGAGAATTGCAACTCCTGCTTTTTATTTATTTATTTATTTTTGCTCTCCATTTGATTGGTAGATCTTTCCCCATCCCGTTGTTTTGAGTCTTTGTGTATCTTTGGATGTGAAATGGGTCTGGATGTAGCATACCATTGGGTTTTGATGTATCTTTTGACTGGGGGATTCAGTCAACTTAAAATTAGGGTTACTGCTATTTGATGTTAACTGGCTATTTTATCCATTCGTTGATGTAAATTCTTCTTTATGTTGATGCTCTTTACTTTTTGGTATATTTTTAGAAAGGCTAATGCTGGTTGTTCCTTTCTACGTATAATGCTTCTTTCAGAAGCTCTTGTAAAGCAGGCCTAGTGGTAATAAAATCTCTGAGTACTTGCTTGTTCATAAAAGATTTTATTTTTCCTTCAATTGTGAAGCTCACTTTGGCAGGATATGTAATTCTGGGCTGAAGGTTCTCTTCTTTGAGGATGTTGAATATTGGCCCCCACTCTCTTCTGGCTTGTAGAGTTTCTGCTGAGAGATCTGCTGTAAGTCTGATAGGCTTCCCTTTGTGGGTAACCTGGCCTTTCTCTCTGGCTGCCCTTAGTATTTTCTCCTTCGTTTCAACCCTGGTGAATCTAGCGATTATGTGCCTTGGGGTTGCTCTTCCTGAGGAATATCTTTGTGGTGTTCTCTGTATTACCAGGGGTTGAATATTGTCCTGCTTTGCTAGATTGGGAAAGTTTTCCCAAATAATATCCTGAAGAGTATTTTCCAGCTTGGATTCATTCTCTTCGTCATATTCAGGTACACCTATCAAACATAAATTAGGTCTTTTCACATAGTCCCGTATTTCTTGGAGACCTTGCTCATTCCTTTTTATCCTTTTTTCTCTAATCTTGTCTTCTCGTTTTATTTCATTAAGTTGGTCTTCGACCTCTGATATCCTTTCTTCTGCTTGATCAATTCGGCTATTCAAACTTGTGCATATTTTGCTAAGTTTTCATGTTGTGTTTTTCAACTCCGTTAGTTCATTTATATTCCTCTCTATATTGTCTATTCTTGTTAGCATTTCGTCAAACCTTTTTTCAAAGTTCTTAGTTTCTTTACATTGGGTTAGAACAAGTTCTTTTAACTCCCAAAAGTTTCTTATCACCCACCTTCTGAAGCCTA